CTTCTCCTTTCTTGTCTCTCTTGGCTCCAAGTCTCACCTTGCCACTCAGGCTGGAGTGCCGTGGCAGGATCACAGTTCGCTGCAGCCTCGACCGCCTGGGTTCCGGTGACCCGCCCGCCTTGGCCTCCCTGGGGCTGCAGGCGCGCCACCACGCTGGGCTCGTTTTTTGTTTTTTTTGTGGGGGGGGGGGTCCCGCCATGTTGCCCAGGCTGGTCTCGAACTCCCGGACTCGAGCGATCCTCCTGCCTGGGACTCCTAAAGTGCTGGTGTGTGTCACCATGCCTGGCCACGGCTCTCTTGAACACAGCCTTTATTTTTGGAGAGGCGGCGTCTTGCCATGTGGCTCAGGGCGGTCTCGAACTCTTGGTCTCAAATGATTCTCCCCTTGGGCCGCCCAAAGCGCTGAGACCACAGGCTGAGCCCGCAGTGGCCTCCCTTTGAGAGGTCTGGCCAAAGTCCCAGAGCTCAGTCTCATTGGTTCATTTCAGTTCGCTAAACTCTCCTGAGCTACTCCTTGATACTCCTATTGGCTAGGCCTCAGTCATGTGAGCAGCCATTGGTGGGACCTGACTCACGTGAGCTGCCATTGGTGGGGCTTGAGTCATGTGACCCACCATTGGCTTGGCCTGAGTCATCCTACAACCTGCCATTGGCTGGGCCTTCGTCTTATGACCAGCCATTGGCTGGGTCTCAGTCACGTGAACAGCCATTGGTAGGACCTGACTCACGTGAGCAGCCATTGGTGGGACCTGAGTCATGTGACCCACCATTGGCTTGACCTGAGTCAGGTGACAAGCAGCCATTGGCTGGGCCTGCGTTCTATGACTAGTCACTGGCTGGGTATTAGTCATGCCAACAGCCATTGGTGGGACTTGACTCACGTGAGCAGCCATTGGTGGGGCCTGAGTCATGTGACCCACCATTGGCTTGGCCTGAGTCAGGTGACAAGCAGCCATTGGCTGGGCCTGAGTTCTGTGACTAGTCATTGGCTGGGCGTCAGTCATGTGAACAGCCATTGGTAGGACCTGACTCACTTGAGCAGCCCTCGGCTGGGCTTGAATCATGTGACCCACCATTGGCCTCGCCTGAGTCAGGTGACAAGCAGCCATTGGCTGGACCTGAGTTCTGTGACTAGTCATTGGCTGGGCGCGAGACACGTGACCGCCCATGAACCGAAAAGATGGCGTCGACCTCCAGAAACACATGGTGGGAGGGGTCCCCGGAGCCCCTCCAGCCCTGGATAGGGGGGAAGGGGGTCTCCTGAGGTCCCCAGGGGAAGGGCGCTGACCCCCCTCCCCACGCCCTTCCCGCAGGCCCCAAGCAGGACGCGGAGGCGGCCAAGAGGTTCATCCTGGACATGTACACCCGCATGTACGCCAGCTGCGCCGACGGCCCCGACGGCGGCAAGAAGGGCGCGCGCTCCCGCCGCCTGTTCAGCCACTACACGTGCGCCACGGACACGCAGAACATCCGCAAGGTCTTCAAGGACGTGCGGGACTCGGTGCTCGCCCGCTACCTGGACGAGATCAACCTGCT